AACAATATCAAATATTTGATTTGATTTGTTTTTCTGATATTCAATCAATCAATATTTGAATGAAATGAAAAAAAATAGTGAACGGAATTACTGAGAAAAACGAAAATGATGCGTATAATTTTTGATGCAAAATTTTACCGTTTTAGCGAATAAAATGATTGATTGATTGATGCTGTCAATAAAAAAATGAACAAAACATGTTTCCTATGCATGCATGTTGATTTTTTTCATTTTTCAATTCGTCAAAATTATTAATCAACAACAACAACAAAGTAATCAATCAATCAATCAACAAAAATGTATATTTTTATTGATCGGAAATGCACTTGATTTTTTTTTGATCAAATCAATCGATGTTTACAGGGGGTGTACGTGGATAATAATTTTTAACACATCCAAGAGAAGGAGTGAAAAAAAATCCCCATTTGATTTCCAAAAATCGATTTCTATCGATATTTATCAATAGAAAATTTTTTTCCGTCGTTGTTGTCGTATCATTTTCTTTCAAATAAAAAAAGTGTAATGTCCACACACACCAACCAATGTATATGTAATAATGATTTTCTTTTCGTTAACCAATTGGTTGTCATCGAAAAAGAAAGAATGAAAAAGAATGTTGTTCAAAAAAGTTTTTCAAATTTCGATTTTTTTTGTTTTGTTTTGTTTTGGCCAAAACATAGTAGCCCAGTAAAAGGAAAACATCTAGCCAAATAGAATCTTTTTTTTCTCCTATTAACACCTAAATGTCAATCATTGTCAATGAATTTTGATCCAAACAAACAAACAAACAAAGTTTTATGTATGGTTTTTTTTCAAATCAAATCAATCATTGAACTATATATATCAATCAATCAAATCAATCAAATCAACAACAACAGAAAAAAACAGCTACCGAATTTAGACGATTAGAGACTGAAATTAAATGAAGAAAAGAAAAAAAGGGGTTAATGTCGTTTTTTTGTTTGTTTGTTGAAATTTTCGAATCATCAATGTTGTTGTTTTCAACCATAGGTTATTGATGTTTGATTCAAATATCTATCTATCTATGTCTCGAACATTTGATTTGATTAAATATTATCATTATGTTTGTTTTTCTTCTTCCAAAAAAAAAAGTACCTCGAAGAGTCAACCACAACAGGAGTCACACACAATATATTTTAGTAGTGTCCGATAACTAAAAGAAAAGTTTTTTTCTTTCTGAAATATATAATGATAAAATACTAGAGAGCGAGAAACTGATAATGAAAACAAATCTAAAATCTGGTCAATGACCAGATTCAATGTGTGTTTGGTATTTTGTTTCTATTAATGGTCTAGATTTTTGGCCGGAAACAAATAGACAAACAAACACACTTTATTTCTGAACACACATATGATTTATTTCTGAATGAATGAATTTTTTGGTTAAAGATTACAATCAATCAATCAATCGATCGATTAATTTACTAATGAAAATTTGAAAAAAAACAAACAAAACAACAATATAATTAAAGAATCAATCAATCAATCAATCAATCAATAGAAAAACTGAATGAAAAAAAATTTTGGATATCAAAAATACACATTCATATTGATATTTTATCATCATCGTTGTTGTTGTTGTTATTTTTGAAAATTTTGATGCGTAAGTGCGGACAAACGGATGGATAAATTATATATATAAAAAAAATATTTAATGACATTTTTGTTTTTGCAAAAACAACAAAAACAACAACAACAAAAAAAAAATTTCTGATATGAAAATCTCAATTCAAGTTCAATGTTCAAGTATATATACTAATAATTTTCGTTTATGTTTGTCAATGAAAAAAAAAATTCAAGGAAATATTCATTCATAACCAATGGTTACACACACACACAAACGAATTGAATCCAGAATTATCAATTTTTTAAATATGGTGAGAAATTCTTGGATTCATTTTTTAATGAAAAACTTTTTTAAAAAACAAAAATCCTTGATTAATTCTTTCTTGTACGTTTCTCGATATGTTGATCCGGCACAAAGTTATTAAAAAAACAAAAAACATTCAATCAAAGAGAATCTCGACTTTGATCAAATTTTTTTTATTTTTTCATCATCATTTTATTGCTACCATTATTGATTGATTTGATTTGATATTCGATTTTTTGATTGATTGATTTTGATTTTCTTATATACATTTCTTCATGATTGATTGTTGATAATGAAAATAAGAAAATGTTAAAAAGAAAAATGATAAAATTTGCTACTGAAAAAAATTTCTTTTTCGATTTTGATTTTGTCGTTCAATTGCTTGCTTGATCGCTATTTTTCCCGACTGTCACTTGTTTTCAACCTTCAAATATTTTCAACAACCAAAAAATGGATGAATTTTGTTTCTAATCAATCGATCGATCGATCGATTTTGTTTTTGTTTTTTCTTGCTCATCATTGGCATTGACCTTTTTGGTTGATTTTTTTTTCAATTTTCAAATATAAAAAAAAATTATGAATGTTTTTTTTTGAATCGAAGAAGAAAAAAACCTTTTTTTTCTCGATTGAATAATAGTAATTTGTAGAACAATCTTTTTGCTTTATTGTTGTTGTTGTTGTCGTAATGTTGAATGTTTATTTTGAATTTGGAAAAGTACATGACCAAAACAAACTTTGGTGATAAGAATTTTGGTTATTTTTTTTAAACCAAATACCAAAAACAAACACAAAATTCATACCTTATCTAATCGTGTATATTTTTTCGATTGAAAAAGTTTTTGGGAGAGAAAAAAAATCGGCCAATCAACCTGAATTGATTTTTGATTTTTTTCTTTCGCTTCTAAAAACGATTAATGAATCATATGCCTGTGAAAAAAAGTTGAGGGTTACACTGGTTATACTTTTCTCATTTTTGTTTCATTTTCAATTTTGTCAAATTTTTTTTTTTTGGTTTGTTTTGGTTTTTGAGTTGTAATTTTCTATAGAAAACAAAAAAAAACAAAAAAAAAACAATCAATTTTCATTCAAATGTTCATCAGCTACCGATATTGATAATGACTGAGTGGTGATGGGAAAAAAATGGAAAATTTCATTCAGTAGATTTTGGTATCTGGAATCCTTTTTTCTCTAGTTGTCAGATAACAAACACAATGTTTGATGTGTTTGCAATTTTTTCCTTTGATTTGATTTGTTTTGATTGATTGATTTTCTTTTTCCAAAAAATTAAAGTTCAATAATTTTTTGGTTACGAAATGAAAGAGTGAATCCTGTATTGATTTGGCCAAACAACGAAAAATTATCAATAATTTTTCGTTGTTTGTTTGTTTGTTTGTTTGTCTGGATTTAGAAACATGAAACAGAAATGAAGAAAAAAAAAATCAATCAANTATGAATGTTTTTCGCGAATTTAAGAAGAAAAAACCTTTTTTTCTCGATTGAATAATAGTAATTTGTAGAACAATCTTTTTGCTTTATTGTTGTTGTTGTTGTCGTAATGTTGAATGTTTATTTTGAATTTGGAAAAGTACATGACCAGAAAAACAAACTTTGGTGATGATAAGAATTTTGGTTATTTTGTTTTTTTTAAACCAAAAACCAAACAAACACAAAATTCATACCTTATCTAATCGTGTATTTTTTCTATTGAAAAAGTTTTGGGAGAAAAAAAAATCGGCCAATCAACCTGAATTTGCGCTTCTAAAAACGATTAATGAATCATATGCCTGGAAAAAAAAGTTGAGGGTTAAACTAAAATAATACTTTTCTTATTTTGTTTCATTTTCATTTTTGACAAATTTTTGGTTTGTTTTGGTTTTTGTGTTGTAATTTTCTACAGAAAACAAGAAAAATTTCATTCAGTAGATTTGCGTATCTGGAATCTTTTTTATCTGGTCCTCAGATACAATGTTTGATGTGTTTGCAATTTTTTCATTCGTTTGATTTGTTTTGATTGATGTTTTTTTATTTCCAAATTTAAAGTTCAATAATTTTTGGTTACGAAATGAAAGAGTGAATCCTGTATTGATTTGGCCAAACAACGAAATATTATCAATAATTTTTCGTTGTTTGTTTGTTTGTCTGGATTAGAAACATGAAACAGAAATGAAGAAAAATCAATCAATCAATCAAATTGATTGATTGAATGGAAGAAAAGTAAGAGATTATCAAGCAACAAGTAATAATGGCGATAAAGAATTTGTCATCATCAGAAAAATCAGAAAAACGCAAATAAATGAAAGATTTGTGCATTATATGGTGTGTGTGCACTGGACTAATCTGTCATAGTGGTATTAATTGATGATACAGTAATCAATCAACAAAATATTGATAATTGAGAATTCAATCGATTGATATTAATATTTATCGATCGATCGATATCGATATCGAATCAAAAAGAGAGCTTTTAAAAAGGAGCAAAATCTTGAGCCATCGAGTTTGACTTGATGACGGCCAACAAACAAACAAACAAAAAAGTTAAGTAAAGTAAAAAAATATTGAAATAGACAAAAAACGACAACATAATTCGCATTCAATCATCATCAACGATCGAAAAATCATCAACCAAAAAAAAACAACATAAAACGTAGCGAAGAAAGCGATTTTTTTTTTTGTTTTGGTTTTTGTTAATAATATTCAGGTTTTGAAAATTTGATCGGTGCATTTTTTTCTGTTTGTTTGTTTGCAATCGGTGTGTGTGTGTATTTTGTGTGTGTTTGTGTGTGATCCGAAAAAAATTTCAACACAGAAAAAAAAATGTAAATCAATTTTTCATCAACAACAAACGAAAATGGTTTTATGAAAATGTCATATTTCGACCAAACAAAAATATTATCCGGATACAATATATCCGAATATATAATGTTCGACATTAATTAAGTGTTAAGTGTGACCGAAAAAACTAAACTAAACCAAACATAAATCAAAAATCATCACAAATATCTCATTGAAAATGATGTTTTCGGTGAATATAATTAAATTGCAATTATCATCATCGATCAATCACCATCATTATAATCGACAACAATATTGTCTGATATAAAAATTATAAACGTTTTACGTATTTGATTATGATTGAATTAAATTAAACATTTTTTTTCTTGCGAAGGAGTGAAGGGTTTAAACGCTCTATATTGTTATTTACAAAGTAAAAAAGAAAACCTAAAAAAAACACGTGTTTATTAAAACGTGTACACCTTGTGTGTGTGCGTGCGTGCAAGTGTGCAATTTTTATTTTTGTTGGACACATGAGCTTCGTGTGCCATCTATCGTTTTTTCTACGCATTAAAAAATATTTAAAATTCATCCAAAAATTTTGAAAAGAATTAAAAAAACAAAAAACGAACCAAACATGCAACAACAAATGCGTTATGAAGCTGAATATTTTGACGATAAAAAACGTCTATTACGGGCAATTTTTAATGAAACATTGACCCAATGTAATGATGCATTACAAAAACGTAACATTACTAAAGGTAAATTTTTTTCTCTATTTTTAAAATTTTCAGTTTTTTAAAATTCCATATTGAATTATCAACATACAATAAATGTGATAATGAAAAAAAATATGACTCAAATAATAAGTCATATATAATTTCCTATTTTAAAATTGAATTAAGAAAAACAATTCTTATTTTTGTTACACTAAATCGCTTTTTTGTTTGGTTATTCAAAACAAACAACAAACGATGACATCTTTTTTGTTTCTCTCATTATTAGGGAAAATATTCTTGATTTTTTTTGTTTCAGTTTTTTGTTTTGTTCTTAAATTGATCAATTTTTTTTTCATTTATTGTTTTGAAAATAGAAAAATTCAAAGAAATGTCATTAAAATCGGATGATGAACGTTATATACGTAATATGTTGGATAATCCAATATCGATCGTATTGATGGGTAATCGACCATGTGTAAAAGCTCGTATTGTTAATTATATGCTTGGTTATGAGCTTTTACCTGTAAGTAATTTTTTTTTTGTTTATTTCGAAACTAAAAAACTAATAAAAAAATAATAAAGGTATTCGATGTATATGATACGGATTATAAACAACCAAGACGTGCTGTTCGTATACAATATGGTACACAAAGACGTTTAGCATTTTGTATAAGACATTTTGAATTATTAGAATGTTCACCATTACATACTGAAAGAGTTGTATCATTTGAAGATTTACGTTTAGATTTTTTACAAGATGAACAACAATCATCATTATTAACATCAACAAATAATAATGGTGAACAAGATGATTTAATATCATCAAATCCAGAATTATCAGGTGGATATTCTAATGATATTCGTTCGTCATCAATATCAAATGGTATGCAAACAACAACAAATGGTAATGATCGTGGTGGTATTAATGGTGGTAGTGGTGGTAGTAATGCATCAAGTGGTCTTGATTCAGCTGGTAATGATCAATCAACAAATACACCGACAACATTATCATATAATTCATCTTGTTCATTAATTAAATCTGCACCAACAGCAACAACAAATATTGGCCGTCATAATAATAATCATCATCATCATCATCAAGTAAGAATGGCTACACAACAATCACGACCACAATCGGCTAAATTAAATCAAACAAAAAATACGGGTGCTGCAGCAGTAGCTGCTGCTGTTAATCATGTGATACAAAATGGTGTTGGTAATAATAATGGTAATGGAAATGGTAATGGTCATCGTCATGGACATTCATCAGGTTATTCTAGTCAACAAAATGTTAATCTTTTATTACAACAACGTGGACAATCGGATATTGCTAACGTTGGTGTTAATGATATGAATGGAATTATAACACCAACGCCAACACCGCCAACAGTAACAGCAACAAATAAACAATCAATAAATTTTAAATCAAGTTTTGTACCATATGATGATCTTGTAGATGATGATTATGATGACGATGATGATGATGATGATGATATTGATTTTGGTGAAGATGAAATGTTAAGCCAAACTGATTATGTTAATGAAATGACAACAATGGAAATTGTATTACCACATGAATTATTGGAAAAAAATTTACAAATACGTGTTGCACCTGATGTTGAATCATTTGATTTAATATATCGTACAACATTTAGCCGTACAAATCCAATAATAATATATTGTTTTGAACGATCAGATGAAATGTTAACTGAAACTGATTGTCGTCATTTACAACAATTAAGACATCGTATGCCATCAACACCAATATTTTTTGCACATATTGTTGATTTTAATTCTGTTTATCATCATCATCCTGCTGGTGTTTATCCATATAATGCACATCCATCATATTCATCATATTATCCATCCAATCCAAATGGTGCTACACAACAAGCACATTATCCATCATCAAATATGTATCGTTTTACAATGGATCCACCTGCAATGCCAAGTCGTATATCGACGAAAATTTCAAATGTTAAACAACAACAACAATTACAACAACAACAACAAATGATTGTTGATCAAATGAATGCTGATATTAAATTAATGAATCAAAATCAAAACAAATCTAATGATGATAATGATTCCTGTTCAGCTGAATTTATATCAAATATTACGAATCCCACAACAACAACCACAACAACAACAACATCAAAAACAACAGTAAAAACGAAAAAAACAACACCACCTGCAAGACGTAATACACATTGTTTGGGTGAAAAATTAATGGGTTCAGTTTCATTGAAACGTTCTGAATCAACATCATCAACACATTCATCACCATGTACATTATCATCACCATCACAAACAACAACATCATCATCAAATAACAGCAATAATAACGGAACACAAAGTATAAGTATGCAAAATATAAATAATAATAAAACACAATCATCATATTTACAAGGTTCAGAATATATTTGGAAACAATTAAGAGAGATGGGTTTTTTTCAAGAAATGCCATCAACAATTGCATTACAAGCACCAATGGATCGTAGACAAAAACATCAATCAAATGGTTATTATATAATAAATGATAGTCCATTTAAATATTCAAAACAAAATCAAAATAATAATCATAATAATCAAAATAATACTGAAAATGGAATGGATGTATCATCACGTTTCATATGTCATTCATATGAATTTTGTTATTTTGTTGATTTTTTTCGTTCAATATTGAAATCAAATTTAGTTGTTGCAGCAACATTATTGAATGAAATTCATAATCAATTTATACAATACTATATATTTACGGCATTCGATATGACATGGAATCTAAATTATTGTATACCAAAACGTTTAGAATATGCAAGAAATAAAGAAGCTGAATTATATATGTCATTAATGGGTATTGCTAATCGTAAACAAGAAGAAATTCGTCAATTAATTGGTGAAACATTACATTTTATGCGTGATGATATTTTGGAACAAGCTGCATCATATCAATTTGGTAATCAAATTTTCAATACAAATCCAATGGTTTCAGCATCCGAAATTAAACAATGTGCTGAAGAAATACAGGATTTTGTTTTTATGACATTAAATCGTGCAATTGCTGTTAAATTAATTGGTTCGGTTGATATTATGCGTGAAAGTTTTATCGGTATGTTTATTATATTAGTAAAATCATTATGTAAATGATTTTTGATTATTAATATTTCCTTATTAAACACAAAAGGTACATTACAACGTTGTCTTAAACAATTAGAAGAATATAGACAACGACGTGATTCATTTGGTGTTATACATTTACAAAATGGTCATCATGGTAATAATAAACATCATGGTGTTATGATTGGTGATAAAATGATTAATAATAATAATAAAATGATAAATGGTCATTATAATATGGCTGGTGGTAATCATAATTATAATCATCATCATCATCAACAACAACAACAATTACCATATCATCATCAAAGAGTTCAAGAAGAAAAAATTGATTTAGCATTATCACGTTTATTGAATTTAGCATATTCAATTGAAATAAATGCTAATAGTTGTTCATCAATGTTAAGAATATTTTGGGAAAAAATGAAAAATTTTTTCCTATTATTTAGCATTGCATGGAAACCAACATGTCGTATTGATATGGAATGGAAACGTAAAGTATCGGCTGATTTATTAGATAATTTATCTGAAGCAAAATTAGCTAAATGTATTTGTACACAATTTCGTGAAAAATTAAAATTAGCACATGAAACATTTTTAAGTTCATTAGCTAATTTAGGTATGTTTGTTTTTCTTTGAAATTTTTTTGAAATTTAATAATAATTTTTTTTAACGGAAAATTTCCAGAAACAACATTGGTTAGTCGATTGAAAGAGATTGATCATCGTCGACAACAGGTACGAAAAAATGATGCACCATTATTTGCACGGTTAGCATTAGAATCAACATCATTTATTGATGCAATATTATATGGTTCACCGGAATTGGGTAAAGAAATTGGCCGTGGTCAATATGGTGTTGTATTTTCAACGAAAAAAAGTTGGGGAAATTATTCTAGGATTGCTGTAAAATCAATAATGATATGTGATGATAAACATTGGAATGATTTAGCAATGGAATTTTATTATACAAGATCATTACCTGAAACTGATCGTATTGTACAGATACGTGGTTCAATTATTGAACATAATTATAATGGTGCATCATCATATGTTTATCTAATTATGGATCGTATGGTTCGTGATTTATATGTTGGACTGAAATCTGGTTTAGAATGGTTACAACGTTTACAGATTGCATTAGATGTTGTACATGGTTTACGTTTCCTACATAATCATGGTCTTATACATCGTGATATTAAATTGAAAAATGTTTTATTAGATAAATATAATCGTGCTAAAATTACTGATTTGGGTTTTTGTAAATCCGAAGTAATGATATCTGGTAGTATTGTTGGTACACCAATACATATGGCACCTGAAGTTTTTACCGGTAAATATGATTCAATGGTCGATGTTTATGCATTTGGTATTTTGTTTTGGTATATTTGTGCTGGTTCAGTTGAATTACCACAAATATTTGAACAATGTCATAATAAAGATCATTTATGGATTGCTGTTAAGAAAGGTATATATTTTTTTAATATTATTTTTCTTTATGGTTTTTTAAAATTTTTTCCCCTCATAATTCAGGTCTTCGACCAGAAAAATTACCAATATTCGATGATGAATGTTTTAATCTAATGGAACGTTGTTGGACAGGTGATTCATCAAAACGACCATTATTGGGTGAAGTTGAAGAAGTTTTATTAGATATTAAAATGCGTTATGAACGTGAATATTATACAAATAATCCTATACAAATTAATAACAGCAATAATACAAATACAAATAATGTTGATATTTTAAATCGTCAAGATAATAGTAATAATAATAAAAAATCATTACCAAAAGGATTTTCACCAAGAAATAAACGATTATCAATGCAAGAACAACAACAACAACAATTTAATCGTCAACAAATTACAAATGTTGTTACAACAGCGACAACAAATCCTAATCCAATAACGATACCTGGATCGATTACACCTACAAAACAGCAACAAATTATAACAAGAAGATCATCAACACCATCACCAACATCATTTCAACAACAACAACCATCATCATCATCACCATTATCATTGCAGCAGCAGCAGCAACAACAATCACCATCATCATCTGCAGCAACAAATTTAGAATTAGCAACAATCATTAACAATAATAATGATGATAAACAACAACAACAACTGAGAAAACAACCAATTGAACAAATTCTAATTACTAATAATAATAATGAAATTGCAACGGCAATTCTTTAAAACAATCAATGAAAATGAACAAACATGAATTTTGTTTTATCCAAAAATTCTATCTAAAATTATCAATATTTTTTTTTGCTTTTATTCTCTCTCTCTCTCTCTCTTTTTACAAAAACACATTACTATTACTATTTTTTTTTACAAATTCATCATTATTTATTTTATTTTTTTTTGTTCGGGCCAAAGATTAGTTAGAACAGAAATATATTTTTTTTTTTAAACACACCAAACAAATTTCAGCCATTTTATATTCAAAAATAATAATAATAATTTTAAATTGTTTACCAAAATGTGATTAATGAAAAACTAAAAAAAATACAAAATACAAAAAAACTATAAAGTAAATGGGGTAAGAGAGAGAGATCGAGCAAGAAAGCAAACAAACAAAATTTCACTTCATTTCAATCAAAAATCATCAAATTTTTCACTTCATTTCCATTTGTTTTCTAAATAACGTAATTTCTTTTTTTCTTCCCATGTTTGGCGATTTTTTTCTTACATCAATTCACGGGTCCGCATCATCATCGTTACATCCATTTTAGCATCCACATTTTTAAACATCCACATCAACAACAAAATCGCCGCATCTTTTGAAAATCTTCTGTTTTTTTTTCTTCTATCTATATTTTTGTCATTTTTTTTCTACACAAATCATTTAACCCTTTTGTCACCCCCAAGCAAAACAGATGAAGAATATCACTGAATCACACACACACTTAAAAAGGGTAAAAACCAAGATCAAAAATCACAACAAAAAAAATATGAAACCCTATATTGTTATTTTGTAATTATAAAAAAAAAAATTTTGGGAAACAAAAAAAAAATAATTATTCATTTAGCATCAATTTTTTGCGTTTTGTTTTCAACCTATTATCAATTACTCGTTTTAATTAAATTTTTCTTTTTTCTCTTTTTAAATTAATTAAAATGAGTTGGTGTGTGAAGGGGTTAATGATTGGGTAAAAAAAAGACATAAAAAGAGTAAACATTTTTTTAAAAAATTTTCTTTAATAATTTTTTTCTCTTGTTAGTCATCATTATAGTGATGGTTATTAATTAGTTTTTTAGTTTTGTTTTAAATAATAAATAAATTATCTTTTTCAGTAAATAAAAATTTTAATATTTGTAATTATATTTGTAATGAATATTTGTAATTTGATTGATTACGTTTCATCACCGGTAATTTGATGATCCTGATGATGATGGTGGTGGCCATGTTTCAATAGTAAATTATTATCATTATTATTGCATGCCCTAAGCCTTTTTGATGATGATGATAATGTTTTTGTTGTTGTTGTTGTTGGCGTTGTTATATTCAATTGTTCCATACCATTATTATTATTTCTTAATGATAATTTATCATCAGGATTTGCTTCTTTATTTAAATCGATTAATTTATCATCATCGTTGTCATCGATTTCTTCAATTTTTGTCGATTGTTTTGCTAAATCAAAATTATTATCAACAACAATATTTTCATTCATCATCATCATCGTTGTTGTTGTTGGATATTCATAATTTTGTTGATTCCATTGATTTATATTGCTATGATGATTACAACCATGTATAGACGAGGAATTCCATGATGATATTGGCATTGCTGATTGAATTTGTTGTTTATTATCATTAAAATAATTTGTCGTTGATGAGGATGATGATGATAATGGTGTTCCTAATAATCTAGTTAGATGAGATAATGATTGATTTGTTGTTGTTGTTGTTGTTGTTGTAGAATGTTTATGATCAATTAATAAATTAGATGATTCTTGATTCTGTTGTTGTTGTTGTTGATGATAATAATCTTGATGTTTTAATTGTTTTATATGATTAAAATATGTTTGATTTTTAATCGAATTATCATCATCATCATCAATATTATTATTATCATATCGATTTGTTGTTGTTGATGATGATGATGGCCAATATGTTGATTCTGGTATTGGTGATGATGATGATTGATGATGATGAATATAATTGGCACTTGCGGAATATCTTTGATTATGATGATGATGATTTATACTCGAATTTGATGCTGATGGTGGTGGATATTGATAAACAATTGATGAATAATTATTATTATCAACACTACCACTACTATAATATGATGATGATGATGATGATGGATATGTTGATTGATAACCCGGAACATTATATAATTGTTCAATTTGCTGTTGTTGTTCCAATGATGTTACTGATGCTACTGCTGATGGTGGTGGTGTTATATTAGTAAATGATGATGTTGATTGACAATCTAATTGATTTTGATCATTGGATTGAATTGATGATGGCCATAATGATAAACCATAAGCAGCTGATGTTGGTGTTGTTATATTCGGATTTACATAACCAATATCCATTATTGATGTTTGATGATGATGATTGTTATCGATTTGTTGTTGATTATCGATCATCCATGGTTGATGCGGCAAATGATGATGATGTGAATGTGGATTCGATAATAATGTCATGGATGTATCATCATTATCATTATTAATCATTGTTGTTGTTGTTGTTGTTAATGTTGGTATTGTTGTTGTTGTTGTTGTTGGAAATGCCTTTGTTGTTGTCAATGTTATTGTAGGTGTTGATAATAATGATGATAATGTAATTGCATTTGTTGTTGTTGTTGTTGTTGCTAAAGTTGTTGATAATGGTGATGATGATGATAATGTTGTTGTTGTTGTTATTGTAGATTTTGTTGTTGTTGTTGTTGTTGTTATTGATTCACTATTAGAATTTGTAACACCGGTATGAATTCTTTGTTGTTGTTGTTGTTGTTGATAATATGATTGTGAATAATTAGAATGATGATGCGGATGCGAATGATGAATAGATTGATCATAAATTGATGATGATAATTGATTTTGTTGTTGTTGTTGTTGTTGTAGATGATGATGCGAATGACTTGTAGAAGAATAATGATTATGATGATGATGATGATGATGGCTTGGTTTTTCACGTATATCTTGAAATGCTTTTGCAAATGGATTATAACGTATTTTTAAATGTGTTACATCTTCATTTTGATATGCAGTAACAGCTATAAATTGTGTTTCTTTAAATGTATATGTTACAATTTTATTACCACCACAAAATGAATTAATACAATCTTCATTTATAATCATCATACCACTACTACTACCACTACTAGAATTATTATTATCATTATTATTTTTTCCTGTTCCTGTTGTTCCTAAAATATCAATACATTCTTGTGATGTTTCATAAAAATTTGTACCATCATTTGTTGATAATGATGATGATGATGATATTGATGCTAAACAATTATCAATATTTGTTATTTGATTTGGTTGTTGTTGTTGATTCGGTTGTTGTACAAATTCATCATTCATATCACTAATTATAATTCCATCATTATTATTACCATTATGTTGTTGTTGGTGTTGTTGATATAATGATTTTGATAATACACATAATGCATCCATTGTTAATTTTGGTGATGTTGACGTTGATGATGTTGTTGCGGTTGTTGATGCGGTTGATGATGATGATGATGATGCAGTTGTTGATGTTGTTACTGTTGATCCAGTTGATTCAATTCTTACAATATGTATTCTTGGTTGATATTTATGTAATGAATTTAATACAACCTTTTTAAGGTAAGGAGGGGAAGAAAAAAATGGATGAATTTTTTTGTAAATTTAGTTTTAAAAATTTTCTTATTTTTTGCAGAAAAACAACAGTAATTTTAAATTTTACCTTTTGCCAGCCTACCTGTCCTTGTTGTGTTGTTGGTTTATTTGTTAATTTAACTTTAGTAAAACTAACTACTTCTTTCATCCAATGTGCACCGAAATTCGGTGAATCCGGATGAATATAAAATGTTTGTAGATTTTGTGGTGGTGGTTCAGATTTACCACCGGCAACCCAATTACCATTTAAATATTTCCAACGATGTGTACCGATTTGTACAAATTCTAATACAATCGAATACATTGATCTTGGTTCAAGACCATCAATTTGACAACGTATTAATGGAAACATACGACGACCACCTTTTGTAACAATCATTTCATTATTAACATCACAAAAACGTTTCCAAATTGTTATATCCATTAATTGTACACTAATATGACGATGTTGATGATATGATGAATTTACTGATAATGATGATGATGTTAATGATGATGATGATGACGTTGTCCCTGTCGCTGTTGTTGTTGTTGTTGTTGTTGATGTTAAACAATTAGAATTTGATATGGTCGATGTAGTTGTTGTGGCCATAGATGATGTTATTATTGGTAAATTTAACACTTGTTGATCATGATTATTATATGTATCGATTGATATTGGTATCATTGATGATGATGTTGTTGGTGATATTGATTGTGATGATGTTGTTGATGATGATGTAAGATTTGTTGTAAATGTTGATGGATAATGTGAAGAAGAATGATGATGCGACGGATGATAAAGTGAATCATATAAATATGATCCACTATAACCAATACCTGAACTACCTGTAATTGAATTTGTTTGATAATGATAATGATCAATTAATGATTGTTGTTGCTGTTGTTGATGATAATCATTTGATGAATAATATGGATGATGATGATGATGATGATAAAAATTATTTGTATCTAAATTATGATATGGATAATGATTTTGATGTTGATGATTATAATGATTATTATTATTATTATAATGTGATGTAATCATTGTTGTTGTTGTTGTTGTTGTTGGTGATGATAATGTTGTTGTTGTTGTTGTTGTCATTGTTGTTGTTGTCGATGTCGATGTTGTTGTTGTTTGAATCGATTGATCATTTTGTTGATTATTATTATTATAATGATGATAATAATGATCATTATTATTTTGAAATGATTGCATTATTAATTGATGAACGAACGAAACAAAAAATTCACTTAACCCTTTCGTTCACCAAAATCCCAAAAATCAAATCAGTTAAGAATTTATTTTCGTTTTCTTATCTGATTCAAACAACAACAACAATAACCAAGATTTAAACAAAATAACATCACCTGGCTACCTGAAATTTTGATTTCAACTAACTAAAAACTTTTTTTTTTTTTAAAAAGACTTGCTAGCCGAGAATTTCCTCTTTTTTTTACATCCATTCCATTCATTCTTTTTTTTTCCTTTTTGGATGTTCATTCTTTTTTATTTATGAAAAAATTACACACACACCGAAATGAGAAAGGGAGAGAGAGAGAGACAAACAAATATAGCCGAAATGCAATATAACCAATCAAACAACATGTAAATGTAAAACACAGCAAAAACTTGTTGCTGTTGTTGTAAAACTCTATTGATTTTAGACGTCGTCGATGATGATGATGATGAACCAAATTGGAATGGAAATTTTCTTTCTCTTTCGGTTTTTTTTTCTTCTTCTTTTTCATTTGTGAAGGACTCGTTATTTGCGATCATTTCATTGCTGCGCAAGCTTTTTTTTTTATTGAAAAAAATATCTTTGGTTCATTTGTATATTGATGATGATGATGTAATAATCTTTTGTTTTTGTTGTTTTTTTTTTCATTTATTCAATCAATGAAATTTTTCTATTAAATTTTTTTTTGTAATTTCATGTTGTTTTTTTTGTAATTTTCTCTTTCTATCAATAAAAAAAACAACAACAACAACAACAAAATTTTTAACTGTATTTACATAAATTTCTTTCCTTCTAATTAGAAATTTAAAAAAAAACTATTCAATCAATCAAATTAGTTTGTCAATCAATCGATCGATCGATCAATATGGTAATGTCAGCAGTAGTATTCAGTAGAAGTAGTAAAAAAAAGATGCCAAAATAAAGAAAAGAAAAATTTCTATTGGTTTTTCATGATGATGATGATGATGATGATGGCCACAACCACAATCTAATCATCATCATCATTTTATGTGTAAAATGTGTGTGTGTTCTTTTCTTGAATGCAAAGATGTTAAACATCTTTCTTTCTTTTTCAATATCTAACCAATTGGACAATTTCACTCTATAATCATCATCATTATTATTAAGTATTAAGTTGGTAAGTATTAAGCTTTAAGAAACCGGTATCTCTCTCTCAATTGTGTTAAAGATGATGATGATGATGTTATATAGTAGTTTAAACATTGGAAAATACAATATTTTTTTCTCATGTTTGGTGGGATGTACAAAATAACAAAATGAAATGGGCGTCATCAAAATGTTTTTTTTTTTTGTTGCTGTTGTTGTTAAAATAGTGTATAGTGGTAGTGACAAAAAAAAACTTGTGCCCTCCCATTTGGAAACAACAAAATGTTTTGAATATTCGTCATCAGTAAAAAAAACGAACGAACGACCGAACGAACGAACATACCATTATGATTTATTAATTGATTTTTTTTGTTTTGTTTAAAAGATTATTTAAATTACTTGGACAACAACAACAAAAAAAGCCGCCTTACCTTTTTTTTCAAGGTAGAAATAGCTTAAAGAACAATCAATCGATCGATTGATCAATTCAAAATTAATACATAGTAAATGAATGAAAAAACAATAGCCAACAAAATGATAATAAAACAACAAAATCAAATGAATATTTTCATCAATCCGAAATGCAAAAAAATGATGCAAACAAACAAGGTAGAAATAGAAAAAGCAATGAGGGGTAACAACAAAAAAAAACTAAGCAAATTAAGTAATGAAATATATATAAAATTTTAAACACACCAAAAAAACATTGTTGCGCTTGTTGTAATTCACTTTTTGTTGTTGTTGTTGTTGTTGTTGTTGTTCCCCATTTGGCCAACAAACAAACAAACAACAAACATACAGAATAAACGAACGAAAAGACAAAAGGTAATAAAAATTTCAATTCAATGTTTTTCATCATCATCATCATCATCATCATTGGTTGATGAACAACAAGTTGATTTTCAAAAAAAAATCTTAAAGCAAACCTTCAGCGCAATCTTTAAGTCAAACGATAGATAGAGAAAGATATTGGTGTCCAATAATTCGTTTTGTTTTAGTAGAAAAACAAAAAAAAACAAGCCGCCAAACAACAGCCAACCAATGTCCAATTAAAACACAAAAAACAATGTTTAAAAAATTGAAATTTTGTTTTGAAAACAACAACAAAACAAATGGAGAAAGGAAACAGCAGCAAAATAATTATTGATAATTTGATTGAATCAAATGACCGGAACTAACTATTTTCATTTGGGAACTTTGTTTTTAATTAATTTTTGAAAAATTTTTTCTTTCGTTTTGTTCGTAGGTGTTCTGTTTGCGTTTTTCCTAAGTTGAACTTTTTTATTTCTGATTTTAAATTTGTTTTTTTTTTGTTGTTGTTGTTTGTTTGTTTAAACAAACAGAAAAATGGCAAATAAAATTGTTGTTGTTTTTGTTGTTTTTGGAACACAAACCATCACCACAGAAAAAAAACAATGAAAATCTCATTTGGACATTTAATCATTGGAAAGAAAACTTCCCAGAAGTTTTCAAGAAAAAGTCAAAATTTTTTTTTTGGATATTGATTATTTAAGTTATTCAGGTAACCAAAAAAGTCAAGTTAGAGATTGATAAATTGGTTTAAATCATCTAGGTAGAAAAAGGAAAGAATGAAAAAAAACAAAACAAAACAACAAAATCCGATCAAAAAAAAAAAAAAAAAAAAAAAAAAAACATGATGATGATCAAGGGGATATCGGGGATTCTTATNACCTTCAGCGCAATCTTTAAGTCAAACGATAGAGAACAAGATATTGGTGTCCAATAATTCGTTTTGTTTTAGTAGAAAAACAAAAAAAAACAAGCCGCCAAACAACAGCCAACCAATGTCCAATTAAAACACAAAAAACAATGTTTAAAAAATTGAAATTTTGTTTTGAAAACAACAACAAAACAAATGGAGAAAGGAAACAGCAGCAAAATAATTATTGATAATTTGATTGAATCAAATGACCGGAACTATTTTCATTTTGGGAACTTTGTTTTTAATTAATTTGGAAAAGTTTTTTCTTTCGTTTTGTTTTGTTCGTAGGTGTTCTGTTTGCGTTGTTCATAAGTTGAACTTTTTTTTCTGATTTTAAATTTGTTTTTTTTGTTGTTGTTGTTTGTTTAAACAAACAGAAAAATCGCAAATAAAATTGCTGTTTTTTTTGTTGTTTTTGGAACACAAACCATCACCACAAAAAAACAATGAAAATCTCATTTGGACATTTAATCATTGGAGGAAAACTTCCCAGAAGTTTTCAAGAAAAAAGTCAAATTTTTTTTTTTGGATATTTAAGTTATTCAGGTAACCAAAAAGTCAAGTTGGAGATTGATAAATTGGTTTAAATCATCTAGGTAGAAAAGGAAAGAAAGAATGAAAAAAAACAAAACAAAACAACAAAATCCGATCAAAAAAAAAACAAACATTATGATGATCAAGTGGATATCGGTGATTCTTATATGATATTTCAAACAGACAAAAAGATCTATTTATTCAACAATATTGAAAAAAACAAAGCAAAGATTTGTTTGTTTTCTAGGTATAAAAAATTCTTTTACAAAAATCTTAAGTGCAGCAGTTTTTTTTACATCCAAAAAGTAAACAAAACAAAACAAAAAATGAAATACTTGAAATTGAGAATAATAATAATAATGATTTTCAATATGAAAATTTTGTTTTTCGAGAGCATCATCAGAAATTAGACAAAGTTTTGTTTTGCCAGAAAATTAACATTGAATTCATGTCAAAAGACAACAAAAAAAATTCTCTGATGATAATCATTATCATTAATATTAATGATGTTTGTAAAGCGGCTACCGCCGTAGCCGCATCTTCATGATTGAAAAAGAATGGAAAAAAATCGATAATTTATGATGTTAACTCTTTTTTTTCTGGTTGGTAAAAAGAAAATGTCTAAAGAAAAAAAAAGAAACACCAAATTATCATCAACAGACTAGACATTCGGCGCCACACACAAACACAATTATACTTTGTTGTTGTTTTTGAAGAAAAACAAAACATCATCATCATTATCGTTTTTAAAACAATGTAACAACAACAAAGAACAAAGAACAATATTCAAAAGTTTTCTTCGACGACAATTCACAATCAGTGGAACTGAACTTTGATTCGACACGATAATAATGATGATGATTAAAATTCTGGCTTGCTGAACGAACAAAAAAAAAAGAAAGATGCGGAGAAATGGAAAGAAAGAAAAAAATCTTGTGAAAAATTATTATGATAATAAAAAATGATTAGCCAGAAAGAAGAAAAAAAACAATTCAAAAACAAAAAAAATACAAAACGATATTTGTGAATTTTCATTTTTCTCTCTTCCCTCTATCCGATGATGGTAACATTGTTACAAAACATCGATGTTAATTCAATAACATCAATGTAGGCAAGCTAA